AAATGCTACTTTTCACATCATTTTCACTTTAAAATGTTTAAATACCATGTGCTATAAATGCCATTTACTGTCACACTTGCAGCATTAGAGAGGCTATTTTAAAACCATGCGGCATGGTTTTAGTTTGGGTTGGGTTCAGTTTGTGATCTGTGTGACATAGTTTTTCCTGAGGTTATATGGGATTAAATTCAAGTTGATTCCGTGGTTGGTGATGAAGAACTTAGCATCTAGTGAGGGTGAGGTGGGCTTCGGCCTTCCCGTGTATTCTGGGTGTCTTTTCCTGTTGTATAGGCAGCTGTGTGGTGATAAAGCACTGTGCCACACCTGACTGAGAAACAAAAATGTGGAAACCCGGGACTGATACTTGAAGTTCTGAATGTAAACAGCCAAGTCAGGTTCATTATAGTAGCAGTGAATTACAAGTCAGAATGTGTGGCTGTTGTTTGACATGGATGAGGTTACTTTATTCCTTGTGGGTTTTCAGTATCATTAACTCAGGTTTTGGTGTTTGTTTTACGTGGCTCACTCTCAGCCTATTCACTTGTCTGGGAGAGAGCAAGTGCATTCATCACCTCACCCCCAACCTAACCCTTTCGTAATCACCTTTGAGCACCAGAACACTGATATGTAAGTTACCTGTGTAGTCCTTTTCCAAGTTGTTTTGTAGAACAGGAAGTTTTTGTTTGTTTTGATTTGAAATTATTGGTTGCGCCAAGTCAAGGAAGTAGGTGCTCTTTTTTTTTTTTTGAATTGTGACAAGGTAGTGACGACGGGAAAATGAACAGTTGAATGTTGAGAAGTATTTTTATTTTTTTTAAACAACAATTTGACAAGTCCCTGGATGTTTAAGAACCTGAATTCTAATGTAATGAGACAGAATTCCAGCTTAGATCTAGACCAGAATTTTTCAGCCTCAGCACGATTGACATTTTGAGCTTTATAATCCTTTGTGCTGGGGGTCCTGTGAATTGTGGGATGTTTAACAGTATCCTTGGCCTCTACCCATTAAATGCCAGTAGCATTTTATCCCCAGTGTGACAACCATAAATATTTGTAGACTTTGCCAAGTGTCCCTGGGTTGGGGCAAAGGAGTGTCAAATTTGCTCTGTTTGAGAGACCACCTGTCTAGCTTGATAACTTGAATAACCAGCTGTATTGCTAAAAGGAATACATTTTTGATGAGCAACCATCATTGCTTATCAAAAATGCCTTTTCTGATAGCTTTATTAACTGTTTTGTTTGTGTTCTGTGCTGTATAAATCTATAAGCATTAATTTAGGACAAAAGTTTACTCATTAGTATAAACTAATAAATGGATAGATGGTTGAATTTTTCCACTCTTGCTGTCATGTTGAGAAACATTTTATAGTTTCCCAATATCTGCTCAGGTTTGGGTCTACAGAGGACTGATGCATATAAAATTCCCCAGTTAGGAGAGCCATTGGTGGTGGTGGTTGGTTTTTTCGTTTTGTTTTTTGAGGTTTTTCTGGCTGTATTGCTTGATGTCAGTAGTTCTTTTAGTCTAAAACATATGTTTAAGTAGCATAAATGGTTTTTCTTTTAGTGAAGGTGATGGGTGCTAGATTGCCAGTCTCAGGTAAGCCTTGTTGAGAAAAAATGTTTTTCCAAGGACACATTGGGCAGGTGGGCTGCCTTTTTGGAGTTAATTGTTTCACTCTCTAGGATGAGGGCCCTCTATTCCTTTCAATAAATGTTTTATCTTAGAAACACTTCTTATCTGTTAAGCATCTTGTTCTGAGAGAAGCCAGAACACTCTGTGTTTAGGCTTGATTCTCTTTATAAACTTCCTCAGAAGAGAGCTGGAGCCAAACAGAGCCTCTTTTTTCAGATGTAGGGATAGGGTATTAGAGAGTGGGGACAGGAGAGTGGGCACTCTTGAGTCACAAACCTTAGATCAGATTCCCACCCATCACTGCTACGTCTGCATGGTGCAGGTGAGTCTGTCTCCAGGGAAATGTCCAGTGGTAAGTTTGCAGTATTGCCTGCCCTTGAGCTTCTCATTACCTGGGAAAGGAGAGAAATGTGAGGGCTTTTGTGAATGTCACTATGCTGCTGTGATCCCAGGGGAAAAGGTGTTCTAGGGAACAAAAGCTTTGCAGTCATCCTTCCGGCTATGAGCCCCAAGGCCAGCAACCCTGTCATCTACGAAATGGGAGCCATGATGCCCACCCTCCCTGCCTCAGGTGTGTTCTGAGCAGAGGCCAGATACTGAAGACGAAAATATTATCTGGGAGTTCTTTCTGGCAGGATAAAGAAGTCAGTGTGAGACAGTGATATCCCTGTTTCCTGGGCCTGCAGTATCTTCAATAGCTGATCCTTCCTGTTGCTTCCTAGTACGCCTTCCATTTTGATAGGCTTTGCTTAAAAAACAGCAACACACAAAATGAAGAAGCTCTCAAGATGGCCAAGTTAAGGATGGAAAAACCTAATTGCCTCTAATAATGGACAGTGAGCTGTTTCTTCAAGGGGGAAGCTCAGAGCAGAGGTAGGTAGAGGTGGAGTTGCCTGTGGCCAGTTAGGCTCTAGGATATCCCCACTGGGTTATTAGCCTAAACATTGAGTTTAACCATGGGATCTACTTCACAGCTGTGGCAAAGCCCCTTCATTATATAAGCTAACCTTTCTTTTCAACAGCATATCAGAGAATACTTTCCAGGTCATTTTTCTAAAAACTGACTTGGGTTTGGCAGAAAATCAGCTTCTTCCTCGTGTATCCAAATGCTGCCTTTGCTCTGACATCAAATCCCACCTCTGAAGTCGACTTTTGGTGACTGGATTCTGGAGTTTTGGGGGAGCGGGGATGTGCATGGGGTTGGTAGGGTGGCGTCCTCAACCCTGTAGTTAACTGCCTTCCCCTCTGCTTAGCCTCTCTCATCTCCTTTTGATCAGTGCCATGCTTAATTACCGCACCGCTCTTGCTTCTTGTGTATGCATCACTGCATTTCCCTCCCAGAAGCCGGACATAGCTCTTATTCTCCAAGTAATGATAGTAATTGCTGGTAGGGCAGACCTGGTCCTCATCCTTCTGCAATCCCATTTCTTATGGCAGGTGTCTAGTTCCTAATTAAGTGCTAATGAGCATGCCTGGCGGACCGTGACACGCTGCCAGCTTCTTCAGTTTTATGTCTTGCTATTGCCAAGCTCTTAAAAGGTGACAGAGCAAGAATTAGTGTCTCTGGGATGACAGGAAGGTGATTTTATGCGTAAAGAAATTGTTATTATGATCTCAAATGGCGAATGAGTAGTTTATAAATACTTTCCAAGAATACTGTTGAAGCTGTCCTCTTGGACTTCTCTCCCCCTTTTCCAACCTCCCTCTAATTAGAATTGTGCTCCCTTTGGAAGTAATGGAAGTTGAAAGAGAACATTGGCTCTTAAAGATTTTTTTAAAGATGCTGGTAGGAGTTGAAGATTTACTGTGAAATGATTGTAAGACACTGATTTCTGCTTTTAAGGTGCTGTTTTCTCCTGCTCTTGGAGGGGGTGCTCAGGATTCAATTAAAGATCAGTAGTCTGGGTGGGAATTACTAAAGATCTGGTGTGAGGTTTAATATATTCAGTACACGCCAGGGCATAATAAATAAAACGAGTAATTGAGTCCCAGGGAAGTGCGCACAAATCAGAATCTTAAGATTATTTCCTAACATTACACCTTAGAAATTGAGCTTTAATCGTTTTTACTGTCTCATCAAAAATGAGTTTTCGGTTGGACAGCTGAAATGTGGCCAGATTTATGGTACAAGGGCCATTTCTTAGATACTTTTTCATTTCTACATACTCTTAAATATAATATATGAGAGCAGTGGTACTTTTTAATGTGAATAGATTTATGATCTCTAGAATGGGTTAAGCTATAGAGGCAGTGGCATTGGGACTGGGGACTTGGGTGTCCGTGGTTGGTGTCCCATAGGACAGTGCGAGTGATTTCCCGTCAAGGTCTTTGGCCTCTCTGGGCCTCAGTGTTTTCCTTGTGATGTTGAAGGACTGGGTTCGGGGCATGGAGCTCAGAGGAAGTACGGGATAAACAACACTTCACCTTCACAGGCTTCTTCCACCTGTCACATGCCTGGCTCCCTGAGACCTCCCTCTGCATGTGGTGGTTCAGTGATCAGTGAGGCCTAAGGGTCATTCCGACATGGACTCCACTCCCTCCCACCTGCCAGGAGAACCTCTGCAGTTCTCTCAGTGCTTTGAGGTTGGCCCTTCTGTGGAACTGGAATGTCGGGACCTACTCACAGTGAAGGCTTTGTGAAATAAGGACACGTGCCTGGGGGTGGAGTGCATAAGAGAATGCACTGCTCCTCCTGCTCTCTGAGTTCTGTTAAAGGTAATAGGTTGGTTTTGTTTCGTTATACCATTGTGGTGAGTTAACGCAAGAAGGTTAGGGTGAAATGGAGTCACTTAATAACTGATGACTACTCAGTTACTATATTGTAGGGTGCATATATACACTTCCCCAGTTTTAGCCTTTCTGAAATCAGGATGAGTCTTCAATCTCTGGCATCTTAGATTTAATGACATACTGGATTTCATCCCTCAAGGCACTTAGAGATGGAACTAGCTAACATTTGAGGGGCTACTAACCTAGTTAGGATTGCTGATGATAATAAACAGCTACATTTGCAGGGGGTAACTTATGCCAGAAAGTGACAGTGTAGATCTGAGTATTATATTTTGGGAAGATTGTATCTTATCAGGTAAAAGCTTTTGATGAACTAAAAGTGCTAATCACCTTTTTTTTCTCTTTTCCTCCCTCTGTGACCCTTTGTGTGTATGTTACCCTCCTGTTCTGTTCTCCATCCTCTCATGTCATGTCTACTTCCCCCGGATGCTGCTACTGCCACCACCAACTTCAACAACAACTCCTCCTCCTCTTCCTCCTCCTCCTCCTCCTCCTCCTCCTCCTCCTCCTCCTCCTCCTCCTCCTCCTCCTCCTCCTCCTCCTCCTCCTCCTCTTCCCTCACCACCACCACCAACAGCAGCAGCAGTTACAAGCTCAGCATCTTTCTCATGGCCACGGACCCCCAGTCCCCCTAACGCCTCACCCTTCGGGACTTCCGCCGCCTGGGATCCCGCCCCTGGGCGGCAGTGCCGGCCTTCTGGCGCTGTCTAGTGCTCTGAGTGGGCAGTCTCACTTGGCAATAAAAGATGACAAGAAGCACCATGATGCAGACCACCACAGAGGTGAGCGGCCGGGCAAGCCAGATTAGGACTTTGTCCTCACACTCATACAGTGCTGCAAAGTTGTGTGCACCGCTAAAGAAAGCCCCAACCTATTCAGAGAGCAAACAATGAGCTAAGAGGAACTGCCGCAAAGCTTGGTCACTGAAATACAGCTCACCCTGGAAATTCTCAGGGCTTAGTGTGGGCATCTGTAGATTTCTCGATCTCTTTAGATTGCAGGCATCTTGACATCTTGGCAACTGCCTAGTTAATGCCAGTGGCCTGTACCATATTATGGAAAACTGTTAACTGCTTAATTGGGTAATTTTCAAAGAAAGTAATCTTGTTAAATGGGGCGAAATAAGAAGTTAAATCTGAAAGTGAATGTGTTCAAATGAGAGGTTTGATAATTGCATCTGTTACTACTTAGCTTCATAGGCTTTAATTCTAGTATGCGTTAAATATTGGGCAAAATTGCACTTGACTAATTTTTTGAAGAAAAGTAATTTATTCTGTCAAGAAATAAAAAAATAGGCTTTGTGTATGGTTAAACTGTAAATCTTATGTTTACAAAATACTGTAATTTTCAGGAAATCACTGTATTAGGAATGTGCAATGACTTATATAAATAAAAGCCATTTTTAAAACTGTTTGGGGCTTGTGTTCTAATTATTCCCCCCTTTTTTTTATTTCTGTTCTTGCCTCTGTGTCTGAACGGGCATGTCTGTGCGTTTCTTGGTAACCTCGGGAACAGACAGAGAACCTGGCACAGTAAGTACTCCAACGCCTGCTGTACACGAACACACCCTCTTCCCGTAGTGCGCCCCACTCTGCCTTTCTTTAGACAGCACAGACGTGCACATCTCCCCTGTCTCCCTCAGTGACCAGGTTTTTGTTTTTTTAAAAAGTATGACTATTCCCCACCCAACCCTGTATTTTTATAAAACTTTTGTTAGATGAGAGCAACATGATTTTGGGTCAGAGCTGTTTGCTATTATCTGTATGTACCCCAGGCCCGCTTAAAAATATGTTTCCCATTGCATTTTGAGGCTAGGTTGCTTGTAGTTTACGAGTATTCATTTTTTATCTTAAGTCAGTTTTACAGGCAAGAGGTCACAATTCACATGTGAAATTGGTTAGTAATGTGTTATTTCTACCTGAACCATTTATTATCCTCTGCAAATGCACCTTAGTTGCTAGGTTTCCATATCTAGTTTTCTTTTTTCATAATTGCCCTTGGAGTGTGAACTTGAATTTATTTTAGACCAAAGAATTGAGCATCTTAAGTTCTTAAAAACAAGGAAATTCAGCGGCCAGGGGTTCTGTGCTTGGAGAGCTCATCATTCCACCGGCCTGAATCTCACGCATTTCACACAATGCATGTCTGACCTGCACACATATCCGCCAGTAGCTGTGGGGAGATCTGTATCTAAAATGCATCTCGCAAATGTCATGATCAAATAGAGTGAGAATTGGCCCCTTTTCAGCGACAATAACCTACAGTTTTTGCCTCCTTCCCTCCCAACTTTTCTTTCTTTTTTAACATGGCAGTATTTTGACCATCTTAAATCTAACTGGTTAAAAAAAAGCAGGGTGGGGGGAGATACTGAACTTGTCATTCTGATAACTTTTTTGTTATGGGTTTGGGAGGAAGATATGCAATTCTTTTCATTCTAAAAAGTTTGTTTTTTCCCCTCTTCTGTGTAGTGGTGTGTGTGTGTGATGTATCTCTTTTTTTTTTTTTTTTTTTAAAAAAAAGGTTTTTAATTGATTTTTAGAGAGAGGAAGAGAGAGGGAAAGAGGGAGAAACATTTATGTGAGAGTGAAACATGGATGGGCTGCCTCCCGCACGCCCCTACTGGGATTGAGCCTACAACCCAGGCATGTGCCCTGACTGATAATCGAACAGGCATCCTTTTGGTGGGCGGGACAACACCCAGCCAACTGAGCCACATCCACAAACCAGGATGAATTAGTAGGGACTTTAGAAATTCTCTTTGAGATAGATCTCGGAATACTTTATGTATCAGGATGTGTTGGGAGCAGTGGATAATGGTGAAAGTATGGGGTAGCTAGTTTTTAAATTCTGGTACTGTAAGTTTTCTCTGGAAAATGTTGGGGAGAGAGAAAATTATAGCTAGGGAATAAAATATCCTCGCAAAGTGCACACTTAGGTAAACTGACTTTGATTTGTGGAGGTGACCTTTCTGTTTTGCTGTTTCAGTGTCTCTGTAGATTATCATTTTTTCTGTCATGTTCATCATATAGCCGCGTGTCAAATTAAAATCCCTAATCCTGGACCAGAGAACAAATGCAAAAGATGCTGAGAGAGCCCATGTTCTTTAGCGTACTGCATGTTGTCATTTATTTAACTTACTCTAGGTTTGGGACTTTAACTTTTTATTCTCAGTATTATGGTTTCACCTTATAAAATCACCGTATATTTCTTGTTTACTGTATGTACGGTAATAGAGGAAATGTGTCTGTAGTTTGGGATACGTAGGCACATACATCACAAGGCCTTTTTCAAGGAACCAAGGAAAGGAGACCAAAATCTTAAAAAATAGTCTAGAAAGTTTCATCAAAAGTTCTAGGCAGTCGTGGAAGAGATACCATGATATGTACCTCTGAGATGCCAGTGCATGACAGGCATGAGGAGAGATTTGCATGCTGAAGGTAGTAGGGGCATTTTTCAGACCTCTCTGTATATTTCTGAATGTGTCTAATAACCTCCTACTTGTATTTTTGGCTGAAAAATGTAAGCAAGAACTTCATTCATTGTAGAAGTGATGGTGAGATGGAGGAAGGATGATGAGTTATGTCCGTAAAGAAGGACAAACTGGGTCTTGAATTTCATGCAGCCGTAGATTGTTTTTAAGTCCATATGTTGCGTTAGCAATCAGTGAACGTCCAAGTCAAAACGTGGATACATTGCATAAAGCAGTCTGTAAAAATATAAAATGATGTGTTATTTGTATGTTTTCTTTTTCACATGAAATTTTTGACAAGTAATGATAATTTTAGAATATTTTCAGAATACGTACTGTGTTTCCTGCTTAATTGTTAAGTTACAAAAAATTGTAGGTGATGATGATATAAAATGGGAAACTACACTAATTTGTAGCATAAACATTTAATTTAACTTCAGTCTCTAGAGGGGACTTAAACTGTTGGGATTTTGCTGCAGTTATATAAAATTAAGTAGCTCTTCAAACTTTGTGTAAAATTGAATATGAGAAGCAATGGATAATAAGATGATGTGTACCATTAGTGCCTAAAATATTGTAGTACTTATTTCTTTAATAAAGTGGTTTGAATTATGAAGTTGAATTTTACTTGGTAGATAGACAGTTTGCTCTGTAATGCTCTTGTTTCTTTTCACCCAATGAGGGGTCAAGGGTAGTTGAAGTTTTCAAACCTTATGGTCTCAGAATCTTTTTCTACCCTTAAATTAAAATTACTGATAACCCCAAAGAACTTTTGTTTATATGGGTTATATATTTTGAAATTTTTTCTGGATTAGAAAGAAAATAAATTTTAAAATCACTTAAGCAGATAAAGAGCTACTTAATTTGTGGTAACATTATTAATGAAAAATAACTATTTTCAAAAAAAAATATTGTAGTGGGAAGAGTGGCTTTGTCTTACATGTTTGCAAATGTCTTTAGTGCCTGGTTTAAAAAGGATAGCTGGATTTTCATCAACTTCTGCATTCTTTCTGTTCTGAAAGATTGTTTGGAAGTATAGGAAGAAAGTCTGCCCTCAAAGAGTTAGGTAAGGGTCCCTGGGAACATCAGGGATTCTTGGACCAAACCCTGAGAACTTCTGCGATGAAACTAAGGAGTTCTGAAGAATTCCAGACCCATCTATAGGCTTATGTTTTCCTGCTCTTCTTCCTATATTGAACACACATTATTTATATTAAGTGCAAATCAGATCTAGAAGGGATGTGAGTGTGTATAAATTTGTATCTGTAAGTCTAAAACTGGTTCTAAGGTCGTGTTTGCTTATTTTTTAGTGACAAAATTATTCCATTTGCTAGTTTAAGGTTTTATGGTAGGAAAACACATGAGCCTTAATGCAACCTGTTTTAATGTAAACCCCAGGAAATGAAAGCACTAAGAACAAGGTGAAAACATGGACACTATGTGTAAGTGGCTTGTTTATGAAAGGGATGGATGATAAAGCCGGTAACTTTTAAGAGGTTTCTGTTGCTGTCTGGCTTTTGTTTATAAATTAAGATTTGACTAGTGCTTTGCTAATTTGCAAAACTTGGTTATTGTTTTTAACACGAGTGTACTATCAGAATGCTACTCACTGTTGAACAAAGAAATATTTAAATGACCTAACAAAGGCCTTTATTTCTTCAGTAATAATAAAAACTTTAGGTATTTCAATTAGAGATGAATTATATTAAATTTTGGCTGAAGGGAATATCATTTAAACAAGTCTTGAAAGACCTGGAATAAGAGAGTTGACTAAGAGTCATATGGCTTTTAAGAAAATAGCATAGGCCTGGCCGGTGTTGCTCAGTGGTTGAGCACCGACCTATGAACCAGGAGGTCATGGTTCGATTCCTGGTCAGGGCACATGCCCAGGTTGCAGGCTCTAGCCCCAGGGTGGGGTGTGCAGGAGGCAGCCTATCAATTATTCTCTCTCATCATTGATGTTTCTATCACTCCCTTCTCTCTAAAATTGATAAAATATATTTTTTAAAAAAGGAAATAGCATACAATATGTGTTTAAATTCTCATTACTTTAGCAAATATTTATTGAGTACCTACTATCTGCCCAGCACTGTTTGGGACACCTCATGTATTTGTTGCCATTTTGCAGTGGTGCCTTTTAATGTCACAGTCAGATCTTTTTTTAAATGAAAATACTGAAATTCCTGACCCATGTGATCACTCTTTGGAACATTTGGAAAAGGGAGGAGCCTTGGGGGTTGGGAATTGGGAGAGACTCCAGAGCGTAGAGGGTCTGTGGCCGTAGACAGGTTTCACAGATGGGCCTCAGAAGGTTCTTGAACCTTCTAAAACCTGCATGCAGAGTGTTCTGAGAAGAGAGAGAGAACTTTCATCAACTTCTCAGAAGGGGTTCCTGGTGCAGAAAAGTCTTAAGTACTGTTCATCCACATTAGAGATCATAACGGTACCGTAATTTTATCAGTGATAAACCAAGCTCAGGGAGGTTGAGTGCCGCTGGTCATACATTTACTTAGTTAATGGCAGTTGAGAATTGGATCATGTCTCTCAAAGAGACTGTGTTGTCACTCCCGTAACTGGCTTTTATAATTAACGGGTTCATACTTAGGACTAACTTAAGAGTAGTTATGACAGCCATCACTGTATTTACTGTAAGGTGGTGTCTTTATCTTGTTTTTCTTTTCTAGTTGTCCTACTTGCTAGTTAATTGGCCAAGGTAGGGCAGGACCAGTTCCTAGTTCACTTTCACTTTTTCTCAAAACGACCAGCACTGGAGAGCACAGGGGGAAGTAGGACATTTTTCTCTGGAAAAATGGCATTGTTGGTCTTTCTCTGAAATTTTAATTTTGAGTTTCATGTCATCTCCAGTGACTCCTCAGGACCATGGCATTATGGGGGTGGTGGGATAGAAAGAACTCCTGTTGTGGACAAAGGCAGGCTGCCGTGGGAGTCTGGCTGCACAGGCAGGTCATCTGTAACGTCGTGATGGGGCTGCCTTGCAAGTGAGGATTTAGAAGCCAGAAACAGCAAGGCCTCAGACACAGCAGAACAAGCCTTTAGGCATGT